CGTCTAAGCCCTATTCTCTTACCTTTGTTGCACAGTTCACAGACATGATTCGGCCCTTGGCTGTGTACTTTCATGTGGTCTGTGATATAGGCAGCACTCAGCATCTTTCCACACACGTGACATGGCACCTTTTCCTCATGACGTACTGTGTGAGCACGTAGCCGATCCTTAGTGGCAAAAGCTGCTTCACAAGTCTGCAAAAGAATCATATAAATGAACGTTATATCCATTGGTCCATTGGCCAATGCATTTAACAGCTAAAGACTAAAGTGTGCATAAGATTCCATTAATGTACAGATCGACCGTTGACTTACCTGAACCATCCTTCTATGTGCACTGCAAGGGGAATCCAAGCATGGGTTAACTTTTTCCATTAGCCTAGAGACTGAGTTATGCAAATTGCTGGCCACGCCTCCTCTGACTGGACTGGTTCAGTTTTGCATGAAGGATCAGCCGGCTTGAAAGAAGCAAATAAGTCTAGAAGTCAAGGTAAGTCAGAATGCCATAGGCAAACATGGAAGTCCAGGCCCAGAACAGCCGAAGCCGAGGGCGGGTTTGGATTCCCCTCGCAGCGCACATAGAAGGACCATTCAGGTAAGTCAACAGTCGTTCTCCTGTGCGCTGCTTGGGGAATCCAAGCATGGGACATGCCAAAGCAATAAACTTCAGGGGCAGGAGCGAGGCTGGTCTGGTCCCATAGCTGAAGAAGCTACCCTTGGGAGCACGCGCCATCCAAAGGATGCCTCAGCCGAGGCATAAACGTCCACCTTGTAGTGACGGATAAAGGGTGACAGTGATGACCAGGTCGTTGCCCTGCAGATGTCTTCCACCGAGGCCTGTGTTGGCCAGGCCGCCGTCATGGCCGCACTCCTGGTAGAATGGGGAGTGATATGACTGGGAACTGGTCGGTCTGGCAGTCATAGGCTACGGCAATACACGCCTTCAACCAGCGGCCGATGGTATGCAACGATGCCTTGTGGCCCATGGTGGCAGGTTGGAAGGACACGAACAGGGCCTCCATCCTTCTGAACGATGCAGTGCGTCTCACATAGCGGCAAAGTGAACGACGAACGTCGAGATGATGCCAACGCTGTTCTCGGGGGTGAGATGGCCATGGACAGAAATCTGGGAGAGTGATTTCTTGGGACCTGTGGAACCACGAGTTGACTTTCAGAATAAAGGTCGGGTCCAAACGTAATACGACCTTGCTCGGATGGAAGATGCAGAGGTCGTCTCGGAGAGAGCGCCGCCAACTCGGACACACACCGGGCCGATGTAATGGCTACCAAAAGACAGTCTTAAGAGTCAGTAACCTGAGGGAGATGGTCAGAATAGGCTCGAATGGAGCCGCCGTAAGGGCATTTAGTACTGGGGAGAGATCCCAGGTAGGACAGCGATGAATGATAGGCGGGCTAAGGTTCGCCGCTCCCTTCAGGAAGGCCCACACCCCTGGGTGTTGAGCTATGGATTGGCCTTGCCCACCGCCAATTACGGTAGACAGAGCCGCAATTTGACAGCGGAGGGTGTTAGGATGTTAGTCCTTTGTCCATGCCCATCTGTAGGATACCAATACCTGTGGTATGGTCGCCCCGGTTGGGTCCTCACCTGTTGCCTGAAACCAACTGCAGAATGCTCGCCAGGTAGCCTCATAAATGCGGGTTGTTGACGGGCAGCGAGCTTCCTGGATCGTGGAGATGACTTTATCAGAGAAATGCTGCTGACTCAGGATCACCCGCTCACGTGCCACACGGCTAACTGTAACAGCTGTGGATTTGGGTGGATATGAGCTCCTTGCGAGGGATATCCTGTCGTCCGGAATTCTCCACAGGCAAGAGATGAACAAGGTCCGCGTACCAGGGGCGTCATGGCCACATCGGTGCGACCAGCAGCACTTCCGCCTGCTCTGTCAGAATCTTCTGGATGACCAGCGGCACAATTGGCAGAGGCAGGAAGGCATAAAGGAGGCCCACTGGCCAAGGGCTTCGGAGAGCGTTGGTGCCTTCCGCTCTTGGTACCTGGAATCTGGTGTAATAACGCGGCAGGTGTGTGTTGTCGGGTTGGGCGAACAGGTTCACCTGCAGGTGGCCAAAGTGGCGGGACAGTTCTAGGAACAGGGCTGGGTGCAAGCACCACTCCACCTGATCCACCGTAGCCCTGCTCAGCCAGTCTGCTTGGACATTCGCAGTGCCCAATATGTGTTCCTCTCAGACTGACAACAGATGGTTCTCCGCCCAGTGGTGTAGGCGTTCTGCTTCCATCATCAGGGCTTTGGACCTCGTGCTCCCTTGGCGGTTGACATGCACCTTGGAGGCCACGTTGTCAGTGAGTTTCAGTACATGGTTGGAGGTGACCATGTCTCGAAACTCACAGAGGGCTAGGCGGATGGCCCGTAGCTCCAGCCAATTGATGCTGTTGTTCAGCTCCTGGGCAGTCCAACGACCCTGCGCCACTGGATTCAGGGCCTGGGGACCCCACCCGAATTGGCTCGCATCCGTTGTAACCACAATCCGCTCCGGTTCCTTGAAAAGGCATCACTTGAGGATGCGGGATGACAGCCACCAACGGAGCGATAGGGACACCTTGGTCAGTAAGCGAACCCTGGTCAGAGAGTGACTGGTGTGAGCCCTTTGGAATGGGAGTAGATACCACTGCAGTGGTCGTGCGTGGAACTGTGTCCAAGGTACAACATCTATGCAAGGTATCATCTTCCCTAGAAGTTGGGACAATACCGCAAGGGAAGGTGACCTCTGCTTGAGCACTTGACTCACCAGGGATTGCAGGCTCTGCGGTCTCTCCCTCGAGAGAGAGACCACACAAGTCTCCGAGTTGATGATTGTCCCGAGATGTAGGAAAGTTTTCTTTGGAAAGTTCAGCACGAGTCCATGATCCTGTAGGGCGTCGATTGTCAGCTGTAAGTTGAGATAAGCTTGGTTCCGGGAAGACGATAAGATTAAGATGTCATCGAGATAACAATCGACTCTTATGGGAACCGACCGCAGCGACGCTGCGACCACCGCTAGCAGTTTGGTGAAGGTCTGTGGGGCTGATGATAGGCCAAATGGTAAGGCGCGGTACTGGAAATGATGCCCCATGAAGTGGAAGCACAGAAACTTTCGATGGGCTGGATGTATTGGAACATGCAAGTAGGCCTCCTTGATGTCGATGGAGGTGAGGAGATCGCCTTGGCGAATGCTC